TAGATGATGGATAGATAGAAGATAGATAGATAGATGATAGATAGATAGATAGATAGATAGATAGATAGATGATAGATAGATAGATGTTAGATGATAGATAGAAGATAGATAGATAGATAGATAGATAGATGATAGATAGATAGATAGATAAATTTTTAAAACTACATATTAACTACTTAGAAATTCTCACAACAAATGGTATATTTGTTTGTAAATGTTACTGTGTCTCATGGTATTAATAAAGGAAATAAAAGGTTAAAAGGTTGGTAAAAAGACATAAAATAGAGATTTTTAATAAAAATTTATGTATGAAAATTTAAATGGCTAGATAGGTTCAGAATAGAAGGGATAATGAAAACATTTGAGCAAGTGTATTGAAAGTCTGAGCAGGATTATGGAGATACAAAATTATTATTATAATAATGTTGTGAGGTGCTTCTCCAGAGAAGACCACTCAAAGTTTTGCCAAATGGAAGTCTTGCTGGCCAGTGGCTACACAGGGGTGTTGGAACCCAAGTGTATAGCCCCAAGCCAGTGCTAGAGTAAGCTTTTATACAGAGAAACCATAACCAGGGGTGAAAAGTTTAAGTTCCCAAGCTTACAGGTAGAGAGTCCCCTTAACTATTTATATTCTATTAAGCAATAATTATTATTTTGCAGAAGCAAGTCAAGCATAACCTTCAGAAACCATAAATCTGCAGTAATCAGGTACACTCTGGGACACACTGACCTGTTCCCAAGACAACTGGGTCCTATGGTATGGGTTCTCATACCATACGCCAACTGTCTGATAATTTCAGAGACTAGAGTCAGCCTAAACTTTAACATTGTGTAGCTATGGTCAAGATGGTGCCCTATTACAATAATTTCTGTTGCAGCCAAAAATTTCAGTGCACTACTCTGGCTTGTACTACACACCCAGTTACAGTCTTAGATTAGATGGATACAAACAAGTATTAGAGTTACCTGTAGCTACTAAAAGATGTCCTTTATGTTTCTCTGTATTATGGAAGTGTTATTTTTGTTACTTTCTTTTGCCCAGAACAAGATAACTTGGTTCAAGAGTAGCTAGGTTTTACCTCCCTGTTCTAGGTAGGTACAGTTCAGAAAGAAGCAGTTTCAGTGAGCTTGGTCTGAATCCTGATCAGCTTATTTCCTGCCTATAGGTATATGATGGGATCCTGCCCCCCACCCCCACTTCTAAAAAACTATAAATCAGAAGAGATTGCTTCTGTTTGTAGTAGAACAGCCTTCATTTAAGACAGACCTAAAAATAATTGTTTTCAAATCCTTCTCTCAGTTCAGTTAAACCTTTACCTAAATCAATTCTTATAAAGGCTAACTTAAGGAACAGAATATATGTACAGTCAAGGTTTATTCAAGAATTTTTGTTTTGTTTTTTCAACACAGTAATTAAAAATACCAGACTGGTTTAATTGAGCTTGGATGTTTAATAGTCATACTTAAAGGTGTATACTAATCTGATCAAAGGGACTTGAGGCACATTTTTTTTGTTCCTTGTCCTCCAAGGTCGACTAAGCCCCTGGGGACTATGGGGCATCTCTCAAAATGTCCTATAACTGTGATGAGTCATCTGTCCTCTTGCTCAGGGAGATCATGGAGACCCTACTGGAGTGACTCAAATCAGTGTCTAGTCTGCAAAGAGGAGGAGAGTTTCCTCCATTCTTCCAAGTGAAGCCACGGTTGAGCAGGCCCTTCTGACTTATCCTCATATAGACAAAACTGGTAAAAGAAAAGCCAAAGGAGCCAGGGGCTCCCCACAAAGCCCAAATGACCCCTGAGGATCAGATCCTCAACTAACTTTAAAAAAATACAAAAAAATGTGGTTAATTTGGGGCAGCTGTATGGTCTTGAACACCCAAAAGAAAAGTGCAATAAAAAATTAATCTTGGCCTTGAATCAAGGCCAGCAGTTGTTGAAGATGTTGGTTTCAAGCAGGTGCCTACAGAAATGTCTTTCTATTGTCTGTTGGCCATTTCAGAAATTTAGAAGTGTAATCGTCAGTTCATTAGAAAGAAACATGTGGCTGGAAAAAAAAATTAAAGCAATCAACATATTTCTGTAAGAGTCCAAAAAATTGGGGCTAGAGAGATGGCTCAGAAGTTAAGAGCACTGACAGCTCTTGCAGAGCACCCAGGTTTGATTCCCAGCACCCACATGGTGGCTAACAACTATCCCTAACTCCAGTTCCAGGGAATTCAAGGCCCTCTTCTGACCTTCATGGGCACTGCATGACATGAGTGCATTTACATACATGCAGGCAATACACTCATACACATAAAATGAAAATAATAAAATATTTATTAAAAATAGTCCAAAAATTTACACTCCCCAAATATTAGACTTAAAATTTATATAATTTTTTTTTTATTTTAGACACAAATTTCTTTTTTTTTTTTTTTAATGGTCTTTTTTGAGACAGGGTCTCCCTGTAGCCCCAGCTGACCTGGAACTCAACTATGTAGACCAGGCTGGCCTCGAACTCACAGAGATCTGCCTGCCTCTGCCTCCCAAGTGCTGGGATTAAAGGCGTGCGCCACCACACATATTTCTAATGATTTTATTATTAACAAAAATACTACTTAAATATAAAACTTCAAATACTGGCCTATACTGTACTATATGTAATCACCTGTCTCCAAAGACTCAGAAACACCAGAATGCTTTCATTTGGAACAGGGTCCAAGACCAAGTCTAGCGAGAAGACCCCAACCACTTCATCCATAAGACATCAGGAAGTGCCTCATAGAGACGCCCCCCACTCCTTTTGTATGAACTCAGGTCTGAAGTGAAGGAAATTGGCACAACATAGGACCCCTGACCATGGAACATCTGGTCCCCTGAACATCCAGTTCTATTCTGGGGACTTCCTCTTTCCCTCTGCCTGGATGGCTATAGGGATGAGTCCCAAGAGAAACCACAAGAACAGCTGAAGATAAATCTCCCCTGCAGCAGCTGTCATCCCTCCCCACCCCAAATCCTCTTGTAGCTGCTGCTAGTATATAAGGCTCTGACCAGCCCCTATGTGCCTTGCGGTTGCCTCCATCTCTCGGGAATGCTGCCCCTCACTGTCCTCGCTATGCTAAATAAACACAGTCTCGTTTGCTGAGGTCACTTTCTTGTATTCTGCACTCTCAAACAAAACAATAAAACATAAAAATGTACTCTAAAATCCTAGGATTCTTGAAGTCTTTGGGAACTTTGAAAAACTTGACCAATGAGTCCCAGCTTGATGGCCTCCTCTCCAAAGCCCTAACTCAGGGGAGACTAAACTGAGACCCTAAGATCGGGCCAACATGGCCACCTCACACCCAATGAAACCTGGACTTGTTTGGCTAGGACAGGCAGCCAGCCCCTCCTCCCAAGCGAGGCCAAGAGGTGGTAGGACCCCCAAACCACCAGCCCCCAACCAACCAAAGCTCCAAAAATACTTGGCCCCAGGCACAGTTCCACTCAACTACCTAGTAACTATCACACCCCTAAAAGTCTACTCAGTCCTCACCAGGGTGGGGACTTCGAGCTTGGGGGATCTCCTTTACCAATAATGGGATTTCAACCAACGCTGAACCTATCCCCACCCATAAAAACTTTGGCACAGAAGAGCCGAACCTCGTACCCACCTCGCAAGCACCTCCCTTCCAGCTTCACAGTTGAGGCTCACCCAACTCCACACCTCCAAAATAAGAAATCTGGGAGGCAGGGCCCGACTCCCGCCAGCGCATCCCTCACCTCCACTTTCCCGCCCCACCTGCCCAGTGCCCAGCTTGTCTCTAGACCAGCCCTGCAGGACCTTCGTCTCCCTGCAGAACAGAGCCCCTGAGAGCGGCACTCACCGGAGTCACCAAAGAACAAGGGGCAGCTCCAGTAACCAGCTGGGGATCGCCCCCGAGCAGGCGCTGGGACTACATTACCCAGAGTCCTCCAGGCGGGGGGACCACGCCGCCCCGCAGTCTCCGAGCCAAGAGCCGGGCGCTGACAGCCCGCAGCTACCATTGGTCTCCCATAGGTAGTGTGTTTTGGTCATCTGGAGGCTAGCCACGGTGGCCTCTGGAGTCGCTCTTCTTTTTGTTAAAACAACGTTCATAATACATAGTCAAGCTCCTCGCCCTGCTCGGCCCTGTCCCTTGACTCCTTTACCTAAGGGACTACACTCCCCAGTGACCCATGCAGCTGACTTCCGCATCCGGTGCCATCTGGTTTTGGTTGTTGCCGACCCACCCCCCCCCACCTCCCGCGAGCGGAAATGGAGGCCCAAAGACACTTCTTTTTGCTTAGTCGGGAATGGAACGACGTCTTCCGGACACTTGGGGTCTCCAGGCTCCCTTTGGGGGATTAGAACCTGCAGGGTACCTGAACCCAGTGCTTTGTGCATTTTAGGCAAATGCTCTGCTACTGAGCTATAGCTTCAGCTCTCATTTTACTTTTAAATTTTGAGATAGGGTCTCACATAGTTCACGCTGGCCTTAAATTCTGTGTAACTCAGGCAAGCCTTGAACTTGTCATCCTTGTAGATCAGCCTCCTGAGCAGCTTTGATTACAAACCTGCATCCCAGCTCCGTTATTCTGAGCCATGGACAAGGGTAGTAGCAGAATTAGCAGAGCTGTGTACTTGTAACGGGTTTCCATGGCGTTCAGGATTTCATTTAAGAGAGGTAAAGGCTGTGGGAGTCCTGCTCTAAAGGACCTGGGCAAGAAAATAATGTTGAAGAACCATAGCAACCTGATCTTGCTTATAATCTGGCCTACTAAGCAATTAAAAATCTTCATGCAGAAAGGTATGTGGAATAGCTAGCTGCCAGGCATACTTGAATTTTGCCTCGGGATTGGTTGGACTTGAGGACGAAGACGTTCTTGTCCATGTTCTCCCTGGGAAGGTTTTTGTGCTGTTGAGAATAGGAAGGCAGCAGTGTGTGCTTGCGGTGTTTTCCTCAGGCTGGGAGCTCTTAGATAATCTCTAGTCAAATAGAAGGTTTTCATTCACCACATAGGAGTCTATCCATTGTGATCTGAGCTCCCTTCCCTTACCCTTTCCACTACAGGAACTCACTCCTCAGAGGTACTTTCTCCACACTCTGGGCCTATCTACTCAATACAGCTCTGAGTTCTGAGTCCCTAACATGCTTGCTATCATCTGGTGAACAGATATTTCACTTGTTCAAAACTGCTCACCCAGCTGGAGCTCTATAGGAGTAGTCACCACCCCACCCTACACCCTATTCAAATGAAAAGGAGCTTGATGCAGGGGACAGCAGTCAGCAGATTGGAAAAGGGGGGTACATCCTTGACAAGTCATGCATGCATATTCATGCACATGCACGCACACACACAGAAGTATGTCCCTGTTCTCAACTATCAATACAAAATCTTCCTCAGACACAAGCTGTTTTCATGGTTTCCTAGGCTGCTGTTTGGACTGCCTGGCCCTATATCTTAACCAGCTCAGGTTCCTATAATAAGATATCATAGATTTGATGGCTTGATAAGCAGAAAATAATTTTCTCATAGTTCTAGATGCTGGAACTCTGAAACCAGGGTGCCAACATGGATGCTCTTTCCTGAATTAGAGAAAACCATCTTCTTGCATCTTCATATAATGCAGATAGAGGTATCAAGCTCTCTAGTGCTTCATAGAAGGGCATTAAACCATGTCCATCATGAAGGCTCATCCTAATCTACATCTAAGTACCCCCACAAAACCCCATCTTCACATTGGCCAGTAAACTTCTGTATATGACAGGCGAGCAATCATACTTCAGTTCACAGACTTCTTCTTCCAGACTTTCATCTTTTATTTATTAATTTTATTTTATGTATATGAGTATTGCCTGCATGTATGTATGTGCACCCATGTCGTACAGTGCCCTCTGAGGTCAGAAGAGAGTGTTAGACCCCCCTGGAACTGGAGTTATGGACCATTGTTAACTGCCATGTGGGTGCTAGGACTTGAACCCAGGTCCTCTGCAAGAGCAGCTAGTGCTCTTAACCACTGAGACATCTCTCCAGCCCCAAATGGAACCTGTTTTAACTAATAACAGTTCTATGAGTTTATTCTTCCCATCCAGAATGCTAGCTTTTAATTCTTCATGAACACAGCCACAGTAAAACATTCTACCATCTGGCATTTTAATATACTTCCATAAACAATTCAAGAAACCTTAAGTTCTGCATATAAGTGCACCAGTGTCATGCATCTCCCATGCAGTTCCCATGGAGGACAGATGAGGGAGTCAGATTCCCTGGAACTGGAGTTACAAACAGTTGTTAGCTGCATTATGGGTGCTGGGACTTGAACCTGGTCTTCTGCAAGAGCAGCCAGTGCTCTTAACCATTGAACCCTCTCTCTAGCCCTCATATTGGGAAAAAATCTTAAAGTTAAAAAACTCTTTAACCCAAGCTGGGGAAAAAATAGCAAAAATAAATACAAAAGTATTGTCCTAATTTACTTTCTGTTGCTTTGCTAAGCACCAAGACCAGATCAGCTTGGGTGAGGAGAGTTTATTTCTTCTTGTATTTCTAGATCGCTGTCCATCATTGAGGGAAGTCAGCAAGATGTGAAGGCCAGAATCTGGAGGCAGGAACTGAAGCAGATACCATGGAGGAGTACTGCTTACTGGCTTGCAAGACCTTATCTCAAACATACACACACGCACACACACACACACACACACACACACACACACACACACACACTGTTTTATGTGTCAAAGTGGTTGGTTTTAATTTGGAAAGAAATACTTTTTCATAAACTTTAGATCTTCATTTTTTAATATATTATGTGTATGAGTGTATTGCCTGCATGTATGTAGGTGCACCCATGTTGTGCAATGCCCAGAGGAAGCCAGAAGAGGGCATCAGATTCCTTGGAACTGGAGTTACAGACAGTTGTTAGCTGCCATGTGGGTGCTGGGATTCAAACCTGGGTCTTTTGCAAGAACAGCCCATGCTCTTAACTGCTGAGCCATCTCTCCAGCCCTAAACTTTAGATCTTTAAATTTTAGGATATTTTTTTAGACAAGGTCTCACT